TAAATAAATTTATAAGACACAAAATTGAGTTCTATGTAATTTAGTGTAAAATTTGCGATTATCAGTTGTGTGCAAAGGTAACTTACCTCAGTAGAAAATTCATAAAGCCATGAGTCATCATCATGACTTAATGATACATTTGTTTCTTCGATGCAATGGAATTCGCAAGGACATGACGGAGAATTTGTCTTGTGAAATTCACAATTACAGTCATCAGAGTCGTCATCATGATATACACAAGAGCATCTGTCCTGGGACTGGGCAGACTCAATGCGTTTATGTCTCCACTGTGATGTTCGACTGTCCTTGTTGTACGGCCCTCGTCCACAATTCATTTTCATCCAATCTAAAAGCATTAGACACAAGATGTAAACAATATATTGGACTCAGAAGGAAAGGTATGTGGTTATGTGAAACGTGTGTAACCAAAACATACCTCGTAGGATAACCTTCACTAGAACAATGAGTGTTGTAAGCACGTTGACATAATACAATTTCTCATCATAGAATTTTTGATTGTCCTTTTTAATTTTTTTTTTTTACTCTTAATTCACTTTGAGAATGTTGACGAGAGAGAAACAAGAATGAGCAATACGTCTCCTGGAACAATCGGACAATAACAAGTAACAAGAGAAGAACGGATGACGTTCACTGACTCCACTGACACCAACCCAACATACCAACAACAACAATCAGCGACTCCCTGCGGACAAATTTGAAAATTCGCAATATCGCGACGTTTGTGTTTTAGCATGTACGTGTTTAATTAAAGCATTGCTCAATTAATCGTTGCGCTAAACTTTTGATCAGTTTTACTTTCGTTGGTAATGTTTGTGTTCCAGAAAAGTATCCAGTGCAAGGCGGTGAGTCGCGGCAACTCAGCGGATGTTGGTCGTGTTCAAACTTGTCGTTCGTGTGGTTGAATGGGGCAGGCAGGTGGTTCTCTTCCTATCGGGCGACACGGCTTTGACAAGTATGGGTTCAAAAATGGAATCGTACGAAGATCTGAACAAGTTCGCATTTGTTCTGTACTTCGGGCCAATGAAGAAATTTGAGGTGGTGGACGCGAAGAGGCTGTACGTGCTAAGTGGAAACCGCAGGAGGCACTACGACCATCGCACCGACGAAGCACAGGCCAAGAATCTGAGTGTCGCTGCAACTGATTCTGCAGGAAAAACTTTGACCAGATGCCATGTGCTGCTCACAGGAGGTAAGACAAGTTTTAAATATAACGCTAAATTTAGGCACACCGCAAAGGTTATGAGGCAATTATTTTCCATTTGTCATTGTTTCTTTAGCATCAGCTGACGACGTGAGGGCCGAATTGAATTTGGCAAAGGCTCAAAATATAAGGCTTTCCTGCCCTCCAAGAAAGTCGATTGGGCCCATTACTTTCCCTGTGGAGGATTTCTTAATGGAGGAGGAGCGGCAGGCTGCTAAGAACAAGCTGGTGAGTGCCCATAGACATCTTAATGTATGAATGCTGTAACCATTACGATGGGCTCAGGATCAGTCGGATTGGCCACTGTTTGTGCTCATACCTAAGTTTTGGAAAGTGTTGGTTCTCAGTTGCCACTTTGCTGTGTCTTACTGGACCTTGAGTTAGTAGCCTGCTTTACTCGACAAACTTTGTACAATTGAATTGCCTGATTTTGCAGAAATCTTATAACTCGGCTAAGCTTAAGGCCAAGAACGACAAGCACTCCAATATTGTAAAGAGGTCTCTGTTTAAGAAGCCCCAGCATAGCAGCACCCCAATTAAATGTAAAGATAACGGAAAACGATCTCCAAAGAAAAATAAGGTATCCATGAAAGTAGGAGAGAAGTCTGGCTGTGTGAACGCTGCTCGTTACATTGCAAACTTCTTTTAATTTGTGTTTTTTATTTTGCATTGCAGTGCACTGTTGAAAATAATAATGCTCCAGGTATTAAACATACGGAAGAAGCTGCTCCTAAAGCAGACATAGTATTGGAGGAGCCTCCAACTGTTACTCATGGAAGTGGCAATGGAAATATTAGTACCGACGCCATCAAAGTGAGCCAACAACTATATTTTAATGCAATATACTTTGCTGATATGTGGGGAAAAAACTTATTATGTATGTACTACTTAATTTCAGACCTCTGCAGACATGACTTCAGGGAATCAGTTGAAATCCCTGTCAACTGAACTTTCAACAGGGATTCCTACTGCTGGAAGCAACAATGGGCATGCGTCCAAATCATCCAAGGTGAGCAAACAATGTTTTATTTGTATGTTTGTGAAACATACTTGCTGATGTGAAAAACTTTTACTATGAATGTACTATTTCATTTCAGACTTCCAGTCACGACATAACTCCATTAGAGAGCCAACTCAAGTCATTGTCAACCGAACTTGCAGAAAAAGTCGAGAATGACAAGCTGATTCACTCAAAGATACTGGACAACTTGAAAGACATTTCATCGAAGTTAGATCTTATCAGTGGTGGTATGTACACAATATTGTCATTTTAAGTCCTATTGCATTTGATTTCGTGATCTGAAACTGATTCTGAACTGTTTTTCATTTGCAAATGTAGGTGAACACTCACGACGCCAAAAAAACAAGTGTGCCATTCAATCTTTGGAAACTTTAGTCTCCGAAGCAGCTGTAAACCCTATTCCACACGACAAGGTACTATTTCCTTCTTTCAATTTTAAAGAAAACGTTCCTTATAGCTGCTTAATCTGATACGAGTAAATTCTTTATCAGGTTTATATAGGTGGTGATAGATACATTGCTAAAAAGTCTATGGTGGACACCGAAAAATTAACTACATACAAAGCCAGGCTAAGGAAAGCTTTAGAACTAATTTTAGTACATCCTGAATCATATAATCTCACTGGAGCAGATGGGATGAAAAAAGTGTCAGAGCAGCAAGTGGAGGCAACAAAAAGTAAGTTTGTGTAGCACACTCCTACACACAGTTCATGCATGCAGTTCTGCAATGCACTTTGTGTTAAGGTGGGGTGTGGGTGAAAAATTGCCAAATTTGCAATAAAAATGAGTAAGACTGTGAAAAATAAAAATATAGTTTATACAATTTCAATCTCTGTTACACTATGGGAAGTGTTTCTGTAGGATTCTATTAAGTGGCTTCATTATGGGGTTTCAACTCAACTCCATATCATGAAGCCCCTTAATAGAATTCTGGAAACATTGACCGTATTGTAACAGATTAAAATTGAATGGACTACATGTTTTCAGTCTACCCTACCTAATTTCATTTTCATTTACAATTTTGCAATTTTCACCCACACCTTACCTTAATGGTACTACTTAAACACTGTTTCCTGTGCATTCGAACACTTTGTCATTCAATCTTTTCATTATCTCAGATTTCCTACAAGCTTTGAATTGGAAATCCTTCAATTTGAAGCCAATGAAGGTCGGTAAGAAAGTTTTCCAGCCTCATACGGATGACTTTGTAAGGCGTTCCATGAGCAAGTATCTCTGTGAAATCAGCATAAAACCAAAGAAGACCAAGAAAGACAGTGATTCAGAAAATGAAGAAGATGAAGATGGCAGAAAGAGAAAGAAAAATAGAGTAGACGGAGAGATTGATGACGAAGAAGATGAAGAAGTAGAAACTAGAAAGAAGGCAAAGAAGAGGAATGAAATTGATGACGAAGAGGATGAAGAAGAAGAAATTAGAAAGAGGGCAAAGAATAACAGTGACAATGAGAATTCTGATGATGGTGACAATCAGGACATTACTATCAGTTCTGATTGTTCATTCCTGAAGTAATGTGAAATTCTTGATCTAGTCCTCTTTGAATTTGATGATTGTTGTAACTTAGCTGATTGATCTGTCCAAGACTATCATTTATTTTGTTATCTACTTCTTAGAACAAAATTTGTCACCAAAACCACAAATAATGACAAATGTTGTTTGTAAAAACCTTGTTAACTTCCAGATCTTGCCCCGCATATTTAATTACCAGTTTAAACTAATCTTCTTTCCTATAAGATTATTGTTTTAAGTCATTTGTTACGCAGCAAAGTTATTCTTTTGTTTGCCTAAGTAACGACCAGTTACTTGGTTTGCCAAAGCAATATGTTATTTTTT